TCTCCCCTCCTGCCTTCATATGGTTAAATTTAAGGATGAGATTGGCCAAAGTACCAGCGGGCATCCAGGCACCGAAGAACCGGAGAGCCCCCCTCCCTTCTCATTGTCATGTTAAATGCGGATTCCAACACCCACCTGGATGAATTTCCGCATGGCAATTGCTCTTCACTTACAAACACTCCATTTGTCAACTTCCCTGATTGTTTGCTTATTTCTCAGCGCATTGCTGCCTGCAGCGGTTTTGCAAAGTTGCGTTGTTTAGCACTAGAAACCACACGCATTTTCTTTGGACTGTGGACAAGTTGCATTGAAACGGCTCTGGGTTAGCAGGGAGCTTTCCAGCTGCAGTTGGGCTGTTCCTTTCAGGAGACAACAATTGCCCCTTATGGAATGTGTGAGCCTATTTCTCTGTTCACACCCCTTCAGGATTTGGTCTTGATCTGTGCTTAACTTCCTAAAATCTTCAAATAATACAGCCATTGTGTGGATAAACTTTAATGATAGTAAATGTCAGCTCAAATATTAACACAGTAATCTTTTATTTGGTTTAATATTTTGACAGATTAAGCTGAACACAGGAAAAACTAGAGGTGATTGTGTTCTTGCGTAAGATTATTTTCTTTAGTCAGCACCTGTCTTCTGAGCTGATTCCACTTGCCATTTAATCAGCTCGGTGGGAGGCTTGCTTCCAGAAAGTTATGCAGCAGTAAAAGGAACGATGTCTGTGTTTTTACTTCTTAAACTTATTTATGTGCATGTGATGGATGTAACACTCAAAACGCTTTTTTTAACTGCAGCTATTTCTGATGGTGAAACCAGCTTTTTATGCGGGAAGCAAATTAGTCGAAGCCATTAACTGAAGAGGTGCTACTGAGCAGTGCAAGGAGAGGAGTACAGCAAATAAAACTTTGTGCGATGTGCTCGATTTCCAAATTGAATCATAATTTTTGTAAGTTAGTAGCTGCTCTTGCAGTGTCTGTGTTGGAGCTGCTTGCATCCCGCAGTAGAGACTTAACATAGTATTAACTCATGTGCGGGTATGATTTAAGTTTTCTGCATCTGTGATTACTGTACCGCGCCCAAGACTTCAGTTCTTTTCTGAGCTTGTTACATGCATTTTGCTTCTGTGCTCATCTCCCCTCCTGCCTCGAAATAACTTAACTCCAAATATATACACCATTTAAAAAAAAAAACAACTGAGCAATGGTTTTGGGTTTTGGCAGCATTTTACCATGGCTCGGCTCCCTCTTCTGGAAACGGGCACAGTAGCAGAGTGAATAAAAATACTTTATAGTTTCCAGGTTTGTGTCCAAATAAAGGGAGGAAATCCTACCCCTGGACGTAGGCTAAGCCCTGTGGTTACTACACGTGGTTCCCCTCAGTTTCCACTTGTGCCAAAGCTTGTTGTGTTGGTGTCCTCGGTTGGTAGCAGGTCTGTGCGACTGTGTGTGGCTGTGCTGCAGGCCTTTTGGGGGAGATTGCTTTCCTCTGAGGAAAAAATGCTGAAGCAAAGGACAAAGTATGATTTTATGATTTCTGCTTTTGTCAGCCCTGGTGCCCTCCTCCTGGCCTTGTCTCTCTGCTGTGTGAGGAGTCTTTTTTGCTATTTCACTAAGGTTCAGCTCAATAATACTGTAACCCCTCTTGATTTATGTAGGTAGCTGCTCTTCAGGAACTTGCAAAGTGTTCCTGGTGGGAGAAGAATGGGTGAGTTAGCTAAGCATTAGTCTGCTACAGGCTTAATTTTAACGAGTATTTCCAGGTTGCAGAGTAGCAGAAGGGAGGTGCCTGCCCTGCACCTGCACCCCTCTACTTTTCGGTGCAGCCCAGACGCTTTAGTACTTTCCCAAGGGCCTTGTATGACCTCGGTCAGGCTGAGCAGGACTTTCCTCTGTTCTCTGCTTAGCAGAAGTTTGGCCGTGCTGCATCTCAGCTGCCCTCAGCCCTGGAATCCCCTGAACAGTGTTTTAACAAAGCTCTTCCTGCACGTTCATATTCCTGAAGTGAGTCTTCCTGATCAGAGATAACCATCATTTTATTTATCTGTTTCCATGAAGGAGTCTGGCCTTGCTCTGAGGGAGATAATCACAGCTCTATCCAACAGAGTTAAATCAAACTAACACTACTGATTCTGGTTTATTTTTTCCTTAAATTCTTTGATATTCCCATGCATGTTCAGGTGTAATCCTTTAAAAACAGAGACTTTTCTACCGGCAAACCTATGAAAGCTGGAGGAGCTGGGGCGGGGGGGCAAAGAGGGCTGTGTTGGCCAGGTGTCGGGGGAGAGGAGGGAACCCAGTTAGTGCTTCTCGCGTTTGCCGATGAGGGTGTAAATATTTACTGGAGGAGAAGGGGGAAAGGGGGGGAAGGAAAAAAAAAAAAGAAATAAAAAGCCTTAAGTTTGTGGGTGATGGATAGGAAAAACAACACACACCACACCCCCCTCATCCTCCCCGCCGTGCACCGGGCCCCTTCCCCGGGCGGGTCCCCTCTGGCTACCGCGCGTTCGAGGCTGCCCGGGGCACCGGGAGCGGGACCCGAGGCACCG